ATCGTAAAATGCTTTAGCTTAAAATTCAAAAGCAGTGTATTTTCATCAAATGTAATGACGTGCTGAACATCAAATGACTGATTGAAAATAAGTTAATTAATTAATATTCAACTCAAAATAAAGCAACAAAATTTGACTTTCTCAACCTGTTTAAAAATAATAATAATATATTAATTTTTAATTGCTAAAATAATATTAATTTTAAATTACAACATACTTTACTAATTTTTTTGATCTACTACAATATTAATACTTACTGAATTCTTTGACTTACTCAACTCAACTCAACTCAACTTTCTAACATGTTCATTTTTTAATCTAAGGCAAAATTTTTTGTGTATTTCAGTTTTATGCGTAAAGTTAGAGGAAGAAAAGTCAAGCTAAAAAGGTCAAAACCTCAAGGGAATGCTAGTAGTGAAAGTTGATTTTTTTCAGTTAAGTTTGTTCTTGAAATGATTAACTCATAGCAAAGTTAGTGCAAAAGATTTTGCCAAAGTATGCAAATAAAAACAAAGCAAATCAATGAATTCAAAAAAATGATAGATGTGAAGATAAATGTTAAAATTTGTTACGACAGTATTTTTCGAGCTTTTTAAAAATATATACATAAAGATTTTAATGCAAAAAAAAAAGGCGCTTAAGAACAAATTTAGCAAAAAAAAGTGATTTAAATTATCAGGAAATCATTTGAATATAATATTGTTGACATTCGTTGAAAATGAAGAAGTAATTTGCGTAAATTCTGTAAATTCAATCATTTCTATCACATCATAAAATATGCATAAAATGAACTATTTTTGACTATAATTTTTTTGCTCATTTTTCCTATTTTTTTTTTACTAATTTTATTGAGGAATAAAAAAAGCAAAAAAAAAAATGTGTGATTGAATTCATCACGAAAAAATTTTATTATTGTCCAGAAAAAAGTACACATGTTTCGAAGTAAAGTTAATATAATTTATACTTTTTGATTTTTTTTTGGTTTTTTTTGTTTTTTTCATTTTTTTGTTTTTTTTTTGATGAGTAGAAGTTTGAGCAAACAAAAATGTCCGAAACATTTAGTATATTTCAGTCTAACCCAAAAATAAAAAAAGTTTATCTATACGAGTACGATACATTTTTAATTTAAAATACTAATATTCACTTATATTGTAGCTTTAATTTAGTGAATTTCAGGGTTAATTTTATCAGATTTTGATAAAATTATATGAGTGATAACTTTTATACTGCATTTGTTTCTAAATAGCTTATACTAATTGCGATTATTGAAGTAGTTCAGATGAAATTTTCTAAGTTTTTTAATAAAATTAATATTCCTTAATTCAATATTGTTATCATTCATTTATTATAATGAGAACCACTATTGTTATCATTATTTATTATTATTATTATCATTAATTATTGTTATTATTATTCAAAGATGATTACATATTAAATGGAATCAATTTTAAACTTTTTTAATTTTAATTAAGTTTAAAATTATATTTGAGGCAAATATTTTGACTAAGTTGCAGTCAAAAATTTATATGTAAGCAATAGCAGCTGGCACTAAGCGTTGCTATCATTTGTTCTGTAATGGTGTAAAACTTACAGCTCAATCGCACTTTAATCTTTTAATGATTTATGCAAATCGTTGATTGGTACATTCATACATAACAAATTTGCAATTGTTTTGATGCTAATATTTTAATTTAAGCCAAAATTATTTCGTATAATAGAAAAAATAATAATTTTCGTTATGAAAATTATTTTAATTTTTGATTAATTCAAAAAATTTTTTGTATCAAATTATTAATTGTTTTTTGAAATATTATTACTACGAATGAAAATGAGAATAATAAAATTCAAAAAAGTACTATCAAAATATTTATTTTCGAAAAATTTTTTGCTATTTTAATGCAATATTTAAATTGTCTTTCAGTCCGCTACATGCAATATTTTTTTATTAAAACATTTTTAATAAATAATTATGCTAAATTTTAAATCTAAGCATAATCTGCCAACTTTTTATCTCATATTTGTGCTAAGCTTCAACCTAAAAATAAATTACGCCTTGAATAAAATTCAATTTTAAATTTATTATATTGCAAAATAATTTTTATAAATCTCATATTGCAAATGAAAATCCGTCGTAGTTTGCAGAAAAAGGATAAAAAATATGAGTAAACTATTTGTTTATATTGCTTAGTACTCGTAGTTCACTTCAATGAGTGTCAAAATGTCAATTTACAACAACGTCTGATTCTGAAGCAAAAAAATTGTACACGAAAACACTAAGATCAATGCAACTAAGTTCATAAAAAAATAACAACAAAAATTTTAACTTTAAAAAAAGCAAAAAATTGAACATATTACGTTTCAAGTAAGTAGCACTGTGAAGAGCAATTATTTCAGTAGCCATTCGAAACTCAAATTTAGTATATTAAAGAGATCAAATCCGTTCAGAATAAAAAAACTTGCTTGTTATTTAATAAAAATATTAATTTAGATCTCTAAATTTGCAAAATAATTCAAGTACCTAATTAAGGGAATGGAAATTTTTGAAAAATCCGTGGCAATAATAATCAATAAGTAACATTTAGCATAGATATTTGTTCGTGATAACTTTAAATGTTAAAAGATCGACTGTTAATTGATAAGATGTTTGAATCAAGAAATAGATGGAATGGATGAAAATAAAGTTAGAATAAAATACAGATTAACATTTTATGCGTAGAAAAAATGTGAAATAATTGTTGATGTAATAATAAAAGGTCAACAAATGTCAAACAGCAAAAAGATTGTTTATTAATATGTGAATTTTTGACTGATAAGAGATAAATGAAAGGTTAAGTGAAAAAAAAAAGTGATAAATGAACAAAATAACTAAAAGTAACTAACCGTTGCTGCTGAGACTGGAATGTGGTGAAGAAGAAATAGGGGTCAAAGGTGCGGGCACAGAAGGAATTGGCGGTGGAAGCACTGAATTTACGCGATAGTTAAATGATGTTTGAGTGAAACGACGTAGTGATAACGCAGCATTGGTAGTTCCCATTGGTGCAAGTCTGCCAAGATCCCGAAGGGTTAGCTTTATCCCTCAGGCAAGAGCTAAATTCTTATCATCGCCCTCACCTTTCATCATCAGCTCCAACACATACATACACACACGTACATACGCACGTACGCACCCACATCCATGTCTATTAAAACAATTATTCCTTTATATTTTATATCACTTATTACTACACTTATCATTTGGTTCAATACTATGAAAATACAGTATGTGCACTACAGATAATATTTATTGTTAATATTATCACCATGAAACTTTGTTCATTAAGACCTAAATTCCAGAATAATAATACACATTCCATCATGATCTACCTAAAAAAGTAAATAGCAACAAATTATATTAATCTAGTAAGAATAATATTAGTAATAAGATTAATGATGATAATCAGTGAAGTCAGTGTGTTATAACTCTGTCAATTAGTGGAAATAATGGTGCAGTGATACCCGAAAATGATATAATAATGAAAATATTTGGCAAGTAATGCAAGTAAAAACACTGAGTATATCTATAAATCGTCTTCAATTATTTCAAACATTTAAATTAGCTTGTAAAATGATGATTACGATGATAATCGCTATCAATATAATATTAAGAATGCAGCAAAAAATGCTTCCTTAC